TAATATTTTGTATTATTTTATTTAATATATTTATTATTTACCGTTTAATAATGAATAATATTTTTTATAAAGTTTCTATAAATTACAAATTTGGCTTATGTACTAAATAGAAAAATAAACAAAAATTTTAAAATTTCAAATAGGCCTTTGCAAATCATCAAATTCTAAAAAAGGTAAAATTTCATTTTTGGTCCATTATATTGGCTATTTTTCAGAAATGGTTCACTAATTTGGCGGACATCAAACTTGATATAATAAGTTGTAAAATTCTACATTTTTGGTCCATTAATCACTCAGGCTGGATAACGAGCCTACGTGGCGGACATCAAACTTGTCCACGTATTCGCCTGATAAAACGACACGTAGGTTATGGACCAAAAATGATGAATTTTACAACTTATTATATCAAGTTTGATGTCTGCCAAATTAGTGGACCATTTCTAGAAAATGACCAATATAATGGACCAAAAATGAAATTTTGCCTTCTAAAAAATATCCCACAATCCCTTTTTGGCCAGTCGAGTTGTCCGACCGTTCTCAACCCTACGATGACGTCATACGAGCTGTCGGTCAATCATCTGGAGCTTCCAGGCTGTTCAGCCTCTGTCCTTCCCGCCCGACCGTCATCACGAGGCGGAGTACAATGAGCCAGGCGGCTGCGCTTCTTTTGGTGGTGCCGCTGCTACCGACGGGAGGTGCGAGAACTTGCCACTGCCACGAGTGAAACTGACGGATCTTGGTAAAGGTCCACGACAGTCACCGATGACTTCTGTTGTGCGGGAGAGCATGGCCGTCGGCGGTGGCAGGGCTCGGGAGGTAACGACGGAGACGAAAATTGGTCGGTAGCGGCGGTGGAGGCCATTTGGATGCACATTTATTAATGTATGTACATGTGTGTGTGTTATGTATCAGTGTATGTATGTGTGTGTGTGTGTGTGTGTTTGACAGTTTTTGTGTATGATAGCGTGTGTTGTGTGCTTGTATCGTGCGTGTGTTTTGTGTGTGTTGTGTCATGATGTGTGTTAGTTATGTTAAATGGTTTCTTGTACAATAAGTTAGGTTTAGGCCTTCTATGTATCTATATATATGTGTATATGTCTTTGTGAACAATACAGAACATATTTTTCCCACTTTCTTACATGGTATCAAACTAGGTTTAGGGTCAATTATAGGTTTCTCTTTTGACGCACGTCTACGGCAGTCTTCAATTCTCACCTCCCAGACCATCCTCTCCGGCATCCTCCGACGAGCCGTCTGTCAAAATTTCAACCCGTTTGGCGGCGCGTGGGGCCCACACTCGCTCGGTTTCTGCGACAGCGCCGGCAGATTCAGACGGAGCGTGAGAGCCACCCCCAGCTCCGATTGCCGCGATTTTTCAGAGGTCGACTCCTCTCTTCGTTGGCTACGTCCTGGTGTGCTCGGATTTGGTTTTGGTGGACTTTTTTATTTCGGTCATTTACTGCTATTTTATCCGGTTTGTGATCCAGTTCGTGATATTCTTTCGTCTTCCTATTGTTGCTGGTGCTTCTTTAATTTTTGATATGGATTCTTCTATGGTGGTCTGCCACATTTGCCATGTTCGGGGTCATATTGCTCCATTTTGTCCTATGGTGGTATGCCACATTTGTCATGTTCGGGGTCATATTGCTACATATTGTCCAGCCAAATCACACCGTTCGAAAGGTTCATTCTATCGACATCATGGATCTTCCTCTACCGCCACTTCTTCTGTTACAGCGGCTGTCACTACTGAGCCTCAACATTCGTCTTCTACTCTTCAAGACATAGAGGCTATTCTCAAACAGGTTATTCTTTCCAATTCTTCTATGTCTGCTACCGGAGGTAAATCACATTGGTATTTTGATTCTGGC